GTTGTACCAATACAAAGTTTTGTGACGCCCGGTGCTTTTCGAGCCAGGCGTCTCATTCCTCATCCATCTTATCATCGTCATCTCCGTCTTCCTCGTCGTCATCCTCCGAGATAGCCTTCTTCGCTAACCGCTCAGCCTCCTCGAGGAGTTCCTTGGGCACCGCCAAATGCCGACCCTTCGTGGGGCCGTCTGCCCCGCTGATCCAGCTCATCTCCAACTCGAATTCCTTATCCTTGTTGTCCTGTTGTGCGACGTAGATAATTCTTGCGGCCTCTTTCACGGCCTGCTTCAGATCTAGCTTTCCCTCGGTAAGGTTGAGCTTCTCCAGTTCGGCCTTGGCAGCCTGGCGACCCTTGCCGGTGGCGGCACCGTAGTATCCCCAGTACAAGCCACTGGGCTCGATCATGTAGAGACCGGGACCGCCGTGTGTGCCCTCCACCTTGCCGCCGGCGCCTACAGAGGGACCGGAACCGACCTCGCCGTCAACGGGGGCCTCGAGCTCGGAATCGAAGCCACCCACGATGGCAGTGATGCCAAAGGGGCGGACCGACTGGTAGAGTGTGTAGGCTTGCAGGTAGCCGCCCATGCGGCTGGCAAGATCTGATGTGGAGATGGGTGTCTTGAAGGTCTCGCGCCAGGAACGGGCCTCATCGCGGGCTCTGTCGACAAAGTGGTGGCCGTCAGGGATCATGCCAGAGTAGACCTAGGGGGGTAGCTGTGGTCAATGTTGGGGATCGGACACTAGACGGCAATGGTGACGTACGACTCCGAGGTGTTTGTCAACGGTCGCGATTCTCTTATTGGCGCCGGGCTTCAGCAATTTGGAGGTAATGACTTTCTCGACGGCGAGGACGACACCATCTTTGCAGCGGATACCGACAGATGTGCCACCATTCTCGACAGCCTTGACGGCGTATTCGACCTGGAAGTTGCGGCCGTCGGGGGAGAAGATGGAGTTGGCGAGATCGTAACCCGTGCCTATTGACGTCTATGCGTGGGCACAAGGTCAGCTTACGAGAAACATGTGCAGATGTGCAAACTGGAATATGCATGGGGGATGAATGCGTCTTGGGTTCCAGGCTCCGCCATTGCTCACCATGATGATCGCCCTTTGCAGGTGACGCTTCGTATGTGTATGTGTCGAGTTATATCTTATTTGGGTGATTAAGCTACAGTTGGACTGGGTGAGGAGCTGTCGCAGGTACAAACGGGTGGGCGGCGCCAGAAGTGTGGAAGCCGGAGGGGGTCGTGATATGTGTGTGGAGGGATGCTGAGCGCGGGTGAGGTTGAGCTTCAACACTTCAGGCAGACCGAGCTGCGTGTCGCAGTTGCATCAGTGGTTGCGGTGCCTCTCAGCGCACTTAGCTAAGCTTACATGTACCTATGACCTACATCTAGGTAGCTATGTACCTATCGATTGTGGCTGGAGCGAGCTGGACTGGAGCAGCAGCTCTCAGACAGCACCACTTAGTGACTGGACCCTTGACCTGGATGCTCTTCCCTTTTCCAATTACACGGTCATCAACGAAGCTACATGCACTCGGCTTCAAGGTTGTACATCCGCAAAATACTCACACGAAGAACATTCCAATGGAGCAGATAGCCTACCATGACTGCATCATGCCTCCCCTCCCCTTTTAAATGTTATAGGTAAGTTACTCGCCATACTCGTTCAATGTTCGTATGGTCGATGATGAGAATTTCTTATGTAGGCCGCACGTTGTAATTGCTGCACGTGGTGTTACAACTTACATGTAAACTGTAGCAGATGGCATTTACTGCACCTGCCTGTTGCCAAACACATCAAACTCGCTCTTGCTAATGACTCTGGGGAATTTTGAAACCTCTCAACAACTTGTCCCACGTCTGTCAGCATAGTTTTCGTGTTGTTTGTCTATTATATCTTAGAATCGTAAGCCTTACAGTACGGTGCTTAATCCGTAGAACAAAGTACCCACATACTAAATTGCCTTCGCCCGAGAGTAACTTGATGCGACGCTTGACGCGCGCCGCGCTATGCACTTCACCTTTTGACTTTTCGTGGCTACCACCGCCAGACACAGACGATCTCGCGCTTGTGGTTGTGCGGACTCCGATCTCCTAGCAACTTACGTCTTCGTTTCAGCCCGTCGTGACTCGTTACTGCATCTAATCCTGGAGGCAGACGTACCTTATCCGTCGATATCCAATATCGCACCGTTATCCCCTCGCAAATGCGTACCACAGCCTCTGGCTAGGTCGATTATGTGCATGATCGCTCTCATCGACTCAATTCCTGCGCAGTAGTCTGCCCTGCGCATCGTCGTCGTTCGTTCTGGTCTCTTCCCATTCTCGTCGCCAGTTCCGTCGCCTCAGCCAGGCTGTTTTCAAGACGGGCTTGTGGTATGCATTGAGATACTCGCCTTGAAGATCGGCCATGGACCGTAAAGGGCCCAAAAGACGCCGGATCGAGATCCCCCTGCCCTCGAAGCCTCGACCCTACAGGCCTGGAGACGGCCCTGCGTTGGCACCTGTTCGTCTCACTCTCGACAATGACTCCACCGCGTTCATCGTCGAGAAACGTGTCATCCCCAGTCAAGCCCCCAATGGCGAGTTGAAGCTCGACTTATGCTACGACGTCGGTTGGTCCGACTTGCCCGCCGCACGCGTCGCCATTCTGGCCACTAAGATACTAGACTATGTCTCCCCTCGCACACTGGAGAATTGGGAGTACAAGTGCATGCTGGAGCAGGACGCCGAGCGAGAAAAGCAAGAGGCAGAAGAGAGAAGACTGGCCGAAGAGGTCGATCGGGCCCAGGTACGGGCAATTACCACCCCAACCGTAGGCACACCACTCTCAGCCACAGTGAGCCAAAAGAAACGCGGAAGGCCGAGCAAGGCCGAGATGGTGGCAAAGAAAATCGCGAAGCAAGCTGGTTTTGCACCCGACGAGCTTGCAAGCGTGCCCATCTCCACTCCAAGCATAATGGCATCGTTGTCTACTCCACAGAAGACAGCACCTCTGGAAACTACGACAGATGCCGAGGAAATAGAGGAAAATCCGAACGAAGCGATCGCCAAGCAATTATACGGCATTCGTAGTGACACGGACAGTGGCAGTGGTAGCGACTCGCAGGATTCTGATGATGACATTGGCGATCCAAGAGTAGCCGCCGCGTTGGCTCCAAGTCGATCTATGCCTGGGCCTTCATCACGAGGGTATGGAACTCAATTTCCCGTCTCTGTGCCATCTTCTGTCCCATTTGTCGACCTTGATTCACCTCTCCCGATTTCCTTTCGTGCCCAGTCATCGGCACCGAAGCTCACCACTCCTGTGCCAGTTCCGTTGCTTCCTGAAGCTACACAGCGGAGAGCCACTACCGCTGTGCCTGTGCCTGCCTATGCATTCTCGAAGCAGAAACCAAAAGAAACCCCAATCCCGGTACCTACCAATGTTTGGCAAGACTCGCTCAATCCGAACCGCGAAAAGACATTCACGCCTGTTCCAGTCCCATCCTTGCCCAAAATCACCCTTATTACGCATCCAGAAGAGAAGAAATCACGAAACGCTAGCTTCACCCCAGCTGCTCTTGGCTCTCAGATGAGTACACCGGAAGGGTTCATTACACCGCATGGTGGCAAAAACCAAAGCATGACTTCTCCCATCAAAAAGCCAAAGAGTTCTCGCAAGAAGAAGCCTGCTAAGAAAGATGACAATGCGTGGGAAGTTAAGCGCTTGGAAGGCGACAAACTCGTAGACTTTGATGGTGACCACATGCAGTATTACAAAGTCCGGTGGGAGGGCAACTGGCCGCCTGGTGAGAACCCAACCTGGGAACCAGAGGCTAATATCTCAAAGTCTCTGATCGACGAGTACTGGCAAAAGAAAGCGAAGAAAACCGGTCAAAGCAGCCCAGGACGACAGCCGGTTCTCAAGAGAAAGTGGTCGAGTGTTGCCGATGCTTTTGAAGGTGATACAGATATTGCGACGCTGCAAGATACAGCCGCAGAAGACGACTCCAATGGAGCGGAAGAACGTTTAGACGTCACTGGGCGGAAGAGTAGGACGAGTTCCCCGGCGCGTAAGGCACGAGTCGAGCCATCGCTTCTGAATGACCTCGTGAGTAATTTTTTGGAGTACTTTCTGCCTTTCGGGAGTCACTTTCTTTTTTCACTGGACCAAGTGCTCTAGAAACATATTCCTCGCCGTCTGAAACCTTTAAAAAACACGCCTTGAATAATCATGACTGACTCAACTGTTGCAGTGGGCTTCTTTTCGCGGCAGCAGAGCTTTTGGGTCTTGAAATGGGAGGTCATGACGATGACGAGAGACGAATAGCTCATGATTGTAGCATTGGGAGGTCACATTCATATAGGGGATGGCACACATCGCTATCATAGAAGGTCTTGATAAACTAGTCAATCAACACTCATGATACCAGCTGCTCCGACAACGTCTGTTCGTCTTTCTCTCTACTGCATCCGACATACAGTATTGGAGGTGGTATACCAGGGGCAATGCATCTGTCAGTCCACTGTTTTAACACTAGCCAGAACCACAGCCCGAATAATACTAAGTCTCGGAAAAAGTCCGAAACGAGAGATAGTAAGGCATCGAGGTGGTGCTCTCTGGTTTTTATTAAGCTGGCGAGAAGAGAGGTACTTAGAGGTCGTATCGAACGCTGAAGGATCCGAAACGTCTGCAAGCAATTTCTTTCCAAGCTCAGGCAGATGACAAGACACATTATGCGGCCGGGCTGCTTAAAGTATGTCCTGTTGGGATAAAAATCGCACTTGCGCTCATAACCAGCTATCGCACCTACGCATATGTGAAGCGACCCAAGTAGAGTCAGATGTCCTAGTTCCTAGTTGATGTTATCAATCAAGCAAGGTGTTATGATTGAGAGAGAAAAACCAGCAATGCACATCGGAATGCAATCAATACCAGGGACTGGGCGGGATGCGGCGCGGGGGACGGAAGGGGGGAGAGACAGGATAAGTCGTGAAGAATAGTCAAAAAATGTCCGGTGCGAGGATCGAACTCGCGATCTTCGGATGTCTCAAGCTAATGCTTGATCATAATGCTTGTTATTTTATGAGACCGACGCTCTAACCAGCTAAGCCAACCAGACAAGACAAGTTGTCAAAATTCTTGCAGGTGGGCATGATATAGATGACGCACGGGAGGGGTAGCGGCACTTACACTAGGTGCCTACTATGTGCGGGGTCCCCCACCGAAGAACTAACCTAAGTGCCTTTATCACCTTCTGCCAGTAATTGGGTTTCGGCTGGCAATGATCAATACCTTGGGTTGGTTATTTTCTTCATGCGTTTGACTTCCTCGCTCTTTGGACAACTTAGGTTCTTCACGGACTGAGTGACTGCTCGCAAAGGCTCACGACTCCTGTTACTTCGCAGTAGATTCGGCCATCATCCAGAAAGCGCCACCTATCCCAAACCTCGGGGGACCTACATGCCTATTCGCGGACTAAGCTTCAGCGGCTGAGAGGTAGATTGCACGTAGGTCAGTGTGGACTATCAACTTTCATTAAGAGGCAGATATATACTACCGACCTCTGAATCATTACCTACAACCCATCGATTTCCAAATTTCAAATATGTGTGGCCACCTGCCTCCCCAACTCCCAAACTTTCTCGCCCTCAACATACATACATACTCCGTGTGAATGACCAACTAACCGGGCACAAAACCGTGAGTTGAAGCCCGAGTAAGTCATACCTGACCTCTTCCCATTTCATGTGAAGAATATGACGACACCGTGTCTGCTCTGTCCATGACCTCCTTCATATTGCGCATCTCCTGTGACTGACCACCAGCAACATGCCTTTCATAAAGGGGACCAGGCGTATATGGCGGACTTGGCATATCATCACTGCCCAAGGCCGAAGCAGGAACTATCGGAAGCACAGGGTGATCCGCATAGCTGTTGGCTGTACTATGATTTGCCGGCATCGAGGCAACAGCATTCCTTGCGTAGTTCTTGTCCTCGACCTTGGGCGTTTTCCGTGACCGCCTGATCTCACCGAAGATAGCAGCAATTACCCAAAGAACCCACATGACACCAGCAACGACAGCATATGTAAGAACCGGACTACCCGTCGCGTCAGTGAGCGCGAGGCCCAGACCACCGTTGATGATGCCGAGCGTTATGCCCAACCGTCCGATCCAGAGATGTGCGTATGATGCCCAAGTCCGTCCGCCGAGCTTTTTGAACTGTCGATGATGGATGAACCCCAGGACTGGCTGGAAGAAAAGTACGACGAGCAGGACGATACCGATGATTGGATGTGCATTTGTCGCTGCCATGCTCAGCAAACTACTGCCTTGTGGCGGGACCCGTACCATGTTCACCAGCAACAGACCCAACCCCGCAGCTGCGATGTACAGGATGTAGGCGATGAGCTGAACGAGTCCGTGTACGATCCATGTGAGTTTTCCCGGTATCACTCGCATTACGATCGAACCAAGTGGGAAGAGGAAGGCAAAGGCTACCGCAGCTGATATCCCATGAATGCTACGATATCGCATCGCTGCTGAGATATCGAAGCCGGCATTGGAGCCATTGATACCCAATCCGAAGGTAGACGTTGATGACCCATCGCCATTCGCAGCATCTGGATTGCTGCTGCTGCCACCGTCGCTTCCGCTCTGCCCCCAGCCGCTCTGAGATCCAGATCCCCAGGGAGGTCCCTGAGCATTGGCGCTCGACGCTGAGAAGGTTGAGATTAGTTGAACATTTCGAGTACCTAATGCATATTGGAGTACACAGGCCACTGATGCTAGAAGAATATACCGGTGTTCTTAACTTACCCAATGCAATAATACCGATCAATGCTGTTAGTCTATTTGTCCTCATGATCCTTCTTCACAACGCTCGAAAGTCGAGGACAAATTTTGTTGTTCGTTCGCTCCTAGCACTCCAAGTTCCCAGCGATACCCTTCTCTCGTTCCGTCTCTTGTCCGGCTTATCCCTGTCTCAGCAGGTTCAGTTGCTAAGTTGTGTAGTCCGTCGGCGGTCAAATCAATGCAAAGAGAAGCGAAGTCGCCAGACGAAGAGACTTAGCAGGGGTGTAAGATACACTATATAACATGGGCTGCTTCCGTCCGACACTTTTGAATTATATACGGGCAATATTCTTTTAGATCAAAGCGGCTTGGAGGGGCGACACAACTCTATTCCTCCTGATAAACCATATGTAAGATCTAAACGGAGACTTGTCTCGGACCTGCACTTGGGGATGTGCGCTGGCTGCGCATCCGTGTAAGCCAAGCAGTCAAACCCAAAATGTTGCACAGCAGCATAAACGTTCGGGACCGAACATCGCAGTGTATCAGGCTTTCGTTACACACTGTACAAGAGGAAACTGATTGGGATGCCGACACTTGAGGGAGTGAAGGTCGCACGCTGCACAACCGCAATACCATCTCATCTCGCAATCTGCGCCGAGGTGAGAGCTGATATTATAAGGAAAACGGGAGTCTGTACGTTGTCTTCAGAAGCATATAAACTTGAGATTCACTTGCGATTCATCTGCGATGATTATATCGTACTCCAGTCATCACGTGTTACGCAGAATGATCAGGTAGGCCGGCGAATGTCAATTGTAAGCAGTGCGTGCCTCAACCTTGAATCTATTAGACTTATCGAGGCAAGGAGTTCGGAAGCTTCTCATTACCATGATAAGATATCATTTGGCATGGTAGACCCATGGGAAATGCTGTCGTCCCATATCTAAGATGTAACTCAATGATATGTTGTACCACAATGGCACCTGTCGCCCGAGGCAGGTGCCTTATTGCCCGCAATGCTTCCAACCTCGGCTCTCGCTAGCGTCTACACCATGATAATAAATAAGAAGCGACTTTTTTGATCTTACATTGTAGGCTAGAATATGTTTGAAGTATGGGGTAAATGATCTTGTCCACGAGTTATGTTTGGATGCCATCCTTCACATCCCACGAGCACTGGCCAATGCGAACACTCAGCTTGTTCATGATGTCGATCGTAGTTAACAAGAGAAATCGAAATGATGAACTAATACATAGAATCATACAGCCTTGGGGAACATTCAATCGAGACAGAAATGTGAACCTAACTAGATCGAACTAGGAATCACGACAAGTTCTTTGCAGTACAAGCTGTATGGATGCGTATTATGAGAAAGTCTTCGGTATAGAGATTATAATGGTTTCGACACATGAGATGCGAGCGACAAGTAGTCAATACATTGACGCCTATATATATTCGTACGTCAACACATCTTCAATTTATAACGTGTCAGTGGCTTTGATCAAACGTCCAAGTGAAGAACCAGATGGCATATGCAAGCCAATTTCACCAGCCTTGTCTGTCTAGCCAAGATGCACAAAAATAAACCTCATGGTGATGTCTCGATGTTTTAGTGTTAATGTTCAAATTGCCTAAAGTCTGTCAGATGATCAATGGCAACTTGGAACCACATTTTCCAAGCTCTCCTCTTCGCAGACGCAATGAAAGTATCCGGCGCGTATAACAATACACATAAGAATGCCGAGCTTGAATGCAGCCTTCGAATCGTGAATGCAATGAGGTACAATGGGTCTTTTGTTTGACAGTGGCACAGTCCAGCGCCCCATACGACCGCAAAATCTCAAGATATCTACAGCTCACCGGCACGCTGTATTTTGTCACACCATCTACGGATGACCGGTCATCGAGATATACCCCACTGGATGTGCCCTCTGTCCCAATTAGCAAGGAAAATGGGCCCTTGCAATGCAGCCGAGCAACGACGTGCCCACTGAGTAGATTGATTCCGCATTCCAGTCTAAGAGAGGAAGGATGTGGACGTTGTTGCACGCACAAGGGCATATAGCATAAAAGAGCCCTTTAGGACAAACAAGTAAGGGAGAAGAGCAAGAAGAGGAGGAAAAAGGGGCATAAAAGGAAAAAGAAGCAAAAAGCAGAATAGAAAGTACGACTCCAAGTAAGGTGCTGCTGTCCACCTGGAGCGCGTCTCACGAGAGAGAAAAGTTTGGCCCAGATTACTGCATTCCTATTGTACCCGCTATGAGTCTTAATTTACCCTTCGTTATCGACCCTGAACCTTATAAAAGGATATCTGGGACCACCACTACGGGCTTTTGTAACAAAATGACGTTTCCTATATGCCACCAGGTCAAGAAAATAACGCCACCACGCCCCTTTAGCACTGGTCTGTTATCTAATGGTATTTGTACTAGAAAAGTAAACAGACACTCAGCCTAGTGATTATCCAAGTTATTTGGCAAGCGAAAGCACTGACTAACACAAAGCAATGTGCCAGGGTCACGTTACTATTCAGCGATTAAGACTTTGAAGTCACACCGGTGGTTAATACAAAGCCGCGCAGATAGTCAATCTGTTGGCTATGCAGTTATTGTTTTAATAACACCATCACAAGAAGTCACTGCGAGGCATATTAATAGTCAATATTAAATGATTATTCAGTAGACATCATGCGAATATGACAATCATTAAGACAAAATAACGCGCCAATTAGTATAGGATACTTATCTGCGAACAATATGTTATAGTATTAAAAAGTGAACTCTAGAAGCCAGGGGAAATAACCAACTTAGTACGCAAGTCAAGGCTCTTTAGCAACGTAGACAAAACTTCTTTCAGCCTGGGAGAAGAAAAGCAACTAGGCAATGAAGGAAAAAGGGCCATTCGGCAAAAGGCAAAAAAAAGGCCATTCGGCAAAGCAGAGAAAGGGCCATTCGGCAAGGCAGGGAAAGGGCCGTTCGGCGAGACAGGGAAATGGTTATTCGGCGTAGTAGAAGCCAATCGATTTGGAAACACATATTTATCACTTAATAGCGGAATCATTATTTATCAATCTTATTTATTGAGTATAGGAAATTGACCGAAACTAGCATAGATGTGCTAACTTGGGTGCAAATCACTTCACCAGAGCCCATCCGAGCGCCTCAGAGTACTCCTTAATCCATGCTTACTTGAACCCGGGTTGCGAAAGAACCTCCAACCATGTACGCGAGCATTGCGAGACTGGGTATATTGCAGGGAACAGAATAGAGGCGGACGAATGATAATAGCAGACTCGCGATATGATGACGGCAAGCAGGCGC